ACAGTATTTTCACACACAGCACCATGGGCATAATGGTAATACATGTGTAGCAGAGAACTGCTACCACATGACACAGTCATTTCTTGCTCATTTGACTATACTAGAGAATATTTCTAATCTCAGTAGTAAAGAGTTTAAAAGAAATCTAATGTTAGAGCAGATGTCAGCCCCAAAAAGTAACTATTTTCCCAAGGAGTCTTTAAAAATATATTTGAAAACCTACAGAATGATGGAAATATATTCTTCCAAAACACAATGCAGATTTACTACGATGACAGCAGCACTCTGGGTAGCAAGAGAACAAAGCCACAACACAACAGCAAATCTCCATAACTGACGAGAGTATATTATCTACTCTAATGTGTTCTATTTTATTTTGAACTCATATGAAAAAATACAATTAAATATCACACATCAACGAAAGACGCAAAAGTGCATCAATGAAAGATGCAAATGTACAAATGCAAAATGTTACCATTTATACTGCATATTGTTTCTGAGTACACGCACTGTAAGCACATATCTCACCAACCTCATAGAGCATTTTCTCTGGAAAAGGAAGGATAGGAATGAGATTGGAGAGTGATATAAAGAGGATTTCAAGTGTTCCTAAATTGTTTAACTTCTTTTAGCAAGAATGACAAAATGTTAGCATTCATTTCATTCTTAGTGATGAGAGAAAGGTGATTGTTAAATTATTCTGAATTTTTCTTAATTCTTGGCAATTTTTATAATAAAAAATTGTTAAGAGAAATAAAAATAGCAACTGGTTATGTTTTAGCTTGGAAGTAAAGCAGATTTATAAACAAAGAAAACATGAAGAAGAACCTTCTTTCTTGGGAGTAGTGTCTGACCAAAATACATTTTATATATTTTAGTGTACGGCTTGAAAGAATACTTGAAGTGATACTGCAATTTCTGAGTAATATTGGGCAAGTAAATTTGTTTCCAAGGGTTTTCATCCCCTTTTAGGTTAAGAAAAAGTATCAAAATAAAATATCTCAGATAACCTCTTCAACTTTAAAAGTCGATGACTTTTTCCCCTTAGAAAAGGTAAGTATATCTGTGCACATGTTAATTCCCTTGCCTAGAATTCTTTTTCTCTAGCTTGCTCCCTGGCAGTAAACTCCTATTTAGCCAGTAACACTCACAAAGGATTCCTTTGTGCTTTAGGACATCTTCCCTCACTCTTCCCAGGTAGGGAAAATGACTGTCACAATTCTCTGCTCGTATTTTCATTAAACACTTGACACACTGGTACATCTATTTACACATTTGCCTGCCCTGTTAGACAGTGAGCCACTGAGGACAGACCCTGTACCTTATGTGCCTTCCACAGTGACATGCTTATAGCCAAGAGAGATGTAATATAGACAAACCACTTGATGCTATGTTAGCATGAAATAAGTTTAAAATTTTTTACCTATTGCAAATATTATTTTTCCCAAGTAAATATGTGATGAATGAATGAATGAGTCAGTAATACAAAATGGCATGAAGTTTACTCCATTGTCAGATATGCTGATAATCCGAAAAGGGGGCAGGAGTAATCCAGAAGCTCTCTCAACATTCTCTCCAGAAGAATCCACAGGATCATTCTGAATTTTATAGCCTCAGTTTAGAAAGCAAGGTTGAAATAACTTTTCTTGTTTTATCTTTGCTTTTCCTCCTATTACACAGTCCCCCCGCCATAAGAGGAACACAAAACACTCCTTATTTAAGAAAAATCTCAGAAAATTGAGATTCTGAAAAGCTGCTATATTTGATCATATTTTGGGGGGTATCATGCAGTTGGCTCAAACAGTTCATTCAACCCCTATTCTCAAATGGGAACTGACTACAATTCCTTCGGTGGAGGAGGGACAGTGATATGAGGAAGGGAGAAAGAACTTGGTGGAAAACGGCAAATAATATAGAAAAACCTTGCTGAGATTTGAGGAATTGAGTTAAACCTACACATTCATTTGGGGAAAACTGGTATCTTTAATATGCTGAGTTTTGGTGATAGGCTTAATCATCTTAAACCCTGATGACAGGTTAATGTACTTAGTTTTCTACACTTAAAATATGAAGTATCTATTTGAAGGGACCATATGTAAATTTAACAAAAAAAATTATGCCATTGGGTTCATTACTACTTTAGTCTTTAGGGATAGTATCAGTTTCTGAGACTGAAAAACAATGAAAAATTTCCAGGGATAAAGGGAAAGGCAAATAAGACTTCAAGGGATGACAGCTGAGAGGTCATTTTGCATTTCCCCCACTCCTGTCTCCTACCTTTCTCTGTCTTCTAAGTCTCTAACTCAAATGAAATATGGATCTACTGCATCTTCAAGTAATTTAGCCTTTACTTGGGAGTGGATCATCTTTTATACAGTAAGTAACATTTTATAAACAATCGAAATAATGATAAATTACTGACAAAGTGAAATTGATGCTGCAAAAGGAACATGATACATGCCACGAGGGAGCATAACTTCACAAAGCTGAGATGAGCATGCCGCTAATAATAAGTATTTGCTAGCTTTCACTACATAAGAGAGCAACTGCAACACACTGTAATGAGTATTTGTAAACCAGAACATACTTCCAGTTAAGAGCTCAGGCTGTGGAGTCAGACAGAACTGGCTCTACAAATAACAAACCTGATGCAGGGCAATTAACTTTTCTGAGAATGTGTTTCCTCATATGTAAAATGGAGATATTCAATAAGACCCATGTCAAATACAGTTGTGAAACTCAAGATAATGCACATTAAACACTGATCCCAGTGCTTGGCATATGGCAATCACTCAATACACATTAATCACTATTATTTTTAATTCCTTTTTTTCTGTGCAAATTTTACACAGACTTCCCTTCATAAGGAGAGTTTTGCAAAATAAAGGTGCTGTAGAGGATGTCCTAAAGGCCTACCAAGCTTTATAAACTTAAGATTCTCGATGGATATATTGTTTGGAGTGGTCTTGTACTCTGCAAGAATATATCCCCAAGAATCATAACTTTAAGCTAATGAAATGAATTTAGATAAAACTGGGTGTTTGACTCCACTTTAACATCATATAGCTAGAATGTTTAAATATTAGCCTCTTCAAAGTGTCCATGACAGTTTGCACAATTAGAAATATGAACTCCTATTGAACTCCCAATTGTACCAGTTAGAAATCCTGTTAATTGTACAACTAGAAATCTAATTCTATTCCTTTTTCAAACATCACAGACTTGGGATTTTAGAGGCACTTAGCTTGAATGAGGCCAGAAAAATTAAATATGTAAATACAGATGGTCTTCTTTAATTCTATGTACCTCATGGATGTGAGTTACATAACTTTTGAACTGGGCTAGAATATGGAGAATCAGTTCAGTTCTTCTATTTTGTAGAGAGGTCAAGTTCTATCCTAGTGTGCTCCTTGATAACATTATAACACCGAAAAAAAAATTGGCAGTGAGAAAAGTAGAAATTAATACTTGGAAATATCCACTATCTAAAGATTTCAATGATCCTATCCATGGTTACCAAAAATACTGAGAGACAGATTTAATGGAATTAAGAGTTTAATAAAGAGTGGTAAAAGTTACCACAATAAAAATTCTGACAATATTGTTTGTTTTTGATGTTTAATGTATTCATCTCATTAATGAAACTATGGTTATATAAGATTATAGAAGCAGACATAATTAAATGGGTAAAGAAAACTGAGATCATCACCGAGGAAGACAGAATATGTGATGACTTTCTACATACTACCTTACCTGTGTAAGTGAGTATTCAGCACTTTAATTTCTTTAGTGTTTCAAAAGTTACTTTCTTCAACTTCATTTTTTAATGGTTGAGAAGTAAAAAGAATTTACTGGACATTTAGAAAGGGCTAAATGCTACTACATGGGTGGTAGTGACAAGAACATGGAGAAGTGCTAACTATAGCCTACATAGAGGTTTAAAGCAACAATTGGAGAAGGTTTTTTTTTATATCAATGTTCAGGTTTTTTTTTTTTTAATCAAGGTTAATGTTAGCACAGGAAAGAATAATAATAGGTACTCTTTATCCTGGGTTACACTTGTCAGTTTGAATAAAGCCCTTGAAATAGGTGGTGTATTCCTTAGAATTATTAGGACTAGCAATTGATAGTGTATTTGATTGATTTTCACATATGCAGTTCACCACAGGAACCTAGTTTTTAGTCAGTTGCACCCATTCACTACCAAGATACAGTGACTCAAACAAATGCTTACCGTCAAAATCAAATTAGTACACTAGCAATGAATTGTTCACTAAGATGCCTTAAAAATTTTGCAAACATTTTAATCTTTACCAAACATGCACTGTAACAATTATGGCCTAAGATCAAGGAGATTTAAGAAGACTGACAAGCAGTCTTAAGTCTTTCTACAATTGCTTTCTGTTCTACCTGAAATGCAACAGTCCTTGTAATTTCACAAGAAGAAATAATTTTATAATCTTTTCCAATTTTTCTCTTCTTTTCTACTCTGGATTCTTGTTTCTAATAACTCTAAATTCCTGAGGAGGGGCAAAGGAGAAAATAATGATTAAATAAAAAGATGTCAGGTAGGAAGGCAAAAAGATCAAGAGTAAGGAAACTAAAAACAAAAAGAAAGTTCAGAAAACAAGACTAAAAAACCTTTGCATATGCTACCATTTCATGCTGCCCAAGTTATTTCTATGAAAGGAAAAGTATTTGGTGAAGAATGGACCTATAAATAGACTAGTACTATGCTATATTTCTACTCAAATAAGCTTATCTGTTTCTACGTTAAGGAGTTCATAACCTGGGGAAAAAACAACAATTCTTTTGAGCACTATCAGGGTCAACATTAAGGGCCAAAACAAAGACCTGACTATGCCAAATAAATTATAAAGTTTTCAGCTTTATCTATACTTTGGTATTTGTAGGGTAAATATTTAAAATTAAAAAGAAATCCTTTCAAGTCATATAAAGTTCTTGGTGGAAGTGTAACACGATATGAGAATTCTGGTTACCGTTTAAATTTGAAGTACTTCATCCATTCTGGTGACAAAGGTAGTTTTAGCAGCTATCATTACATTCATTTAAAATTTCAAAGTGCTTTGAGTCCTTCCAGGATGAATTTACTTTCTTCCTTGCCTTGGATTCCTTAACTTATTTTCTGAAGACTGCAATGTTTACTGCAAGAGAAAAAAATAAAGAGCTGAATTGGAGAGTAAACTAGTTTTAGATACACTGGACATTTCTCTTTCCTTTAGAATGTTCTTAATTTCACCCTCACTCAACAGTTATAATTAGTCTTATTCATTTAAGAAGTAACTTCCTTACTTAAGTGGACACATGGATAGAATCCTACACACTCAATTAAGGACCAAGTAATGTATAAGAATCAAACTAGCAGTGATGCACTTGAAACTTTCTAAGACTTCACTTGACTGTCTTTGAACATTTCTGTTTTTGGCTATGTAAGGGTCAAGGTAAGAGCATTAATCGAATGAGAAATATTAAACCTTACTTCATCTTTATAAAAATCCAATTCTAAAAAAGTAACAATGTCCAATCTGATACACCCTTTGTAAAATATAGAAGTAGGTATCTCCAAATGCAAAAGCTTCTCGCTACTTTGCAATTTTACTTTAGGCTCAAATATGAAACATATTTATAATTTGGTATACAAGGTATCCCCTAAAAGTAAATGAACAAATTCCTATCTATTTCTGAGTCTGGGACACCAATTATATGTACGTTCAAACAAGCAAAACCCCTCATTTATTTTCTATGTAACACAAGATATAAGAAAAATAACTATAAGAGTTATGTAGAAAGAGAAATGTAATTATTTTTTTAAATTTTAATTCCTGATTGTGCTTATTACAGAGTTGAAACTTTCAATAAATAAATATTAAGACATCAGAAAGGCATTTTAAAACGGAAGTTTCTGTTTGTGTACCATCAAACAATGTCTAACTCCAACATGGTTGGGTTACTCATGATGAAAATAACACCCAGTGTTTTTACAATGATTATACCTCTACTTCATGTGGCACATAATAATATTAACAATAACATTAAGTGGCATATATGAGGATTATCATCAAGGAAGGGTAGATAGATAGATGATAGATAGGTAAACAATGATGTCCAGGATAACATACACAGTGGTAAAATTGCTCAGTCTTCTTTCCATTATTAGAGGAGTTTTTCAAAAAGAAATATGCAATTTATGCCAATTTTACTTTGAAATCTGAATGTGAAAAAAAATTGAACACATGGGTATATACATATTGGTAACCTAGCAAAGTACATAGTAGTAAAAAAGTATTTTCCCAAGGGTAGGTGTTTGGTCAGTGGCAAAACTAGAATCTCTTCCCAATGTAGTGTTCCATTATCCTCCTATAATCCATCCTGCTTTCCTGTCCTCTCAGCTCCCAAATTATTTTTTCTGGATAATTTATTTTCAGACTTGTAGGCATTCCATCATAATATAGCCATTGAAATCTTACCCAAAGAGACATAAACAGTGTTTAATTAAACCTTAACATTTCATATGTGCAATCTGTACACAGGGTAGATTTGGTCTTGTATTTTTATCCAGTCTGAAAATCTGACTCTTAATTGGAGAGTTTAGTTCATCAATATGTAATATGATTACTGAAATGAGTGGGCTCAAAACTACCATTTTGTTTTCTATTTCTATTGTTTCCTGCTTTTTGTTGTTTTGTTTCTATTCTACATTTTTCTGCCTTAACTTCAGTTAATCAAATACTTGCAATATTTTACTTTAATTGCTGGATATTTCTATTAGGGTATGATACTCTAAGAATATGCATCCTCAAATAACCACTGTTTACTTAAAATTAATATTGAATATCATGCAAAGCATAAGCATCTTGCAATGATATCATTCCATTTACTACAAAACCCTTTTTGTTAATGTTATCATATATCATACCTCTATTTCTATTATAAAACCCAGAGTAAAATGGTTTTAACTTTTGCTTTAAGACCTCAGCTTTCAAAAAGAAAAAAAAAAAGTCATCTTTCTTCTAAAGAAAATAACAGAAGGAAAAAAAAGTAAGCATTTTATATTTATCATTTTGGGTGGTTTTCATTTCTCCTAAACAACAGTTTCCATTTGGTATCACTGCCCTTCAACTTAAAAACCTTCTTTTATTACTTCTTACATTGTAGGTCTGCTGACAATGAATTATCTACCTTTTTAAAAATCTGAAATCATCTTTATTTTACCTTCATTTTTGAATGACATTTGTAATCAGTATAACATTCTGAGTTGAAAGGTACTTTTTCCCCCTCATAGTTCTTTCAAGATATATTATTCTTATTCAAGATATTTTTTGCTTCCATTATTTCAATAAGTTGATAGTCATTAATATTATTGTTACCCTGGTTACTTTGTGTATAAGGTTTCTTTTGTTTTCTGGCTGTTTTCAAGACTTTTCTCTTGATATTTGGTTTCTAGAAGTATAACTACTATGTGCCTAGATTTAGTTTTCATTTATTTTTGGGGGGGTTCATTGAGCTTCCTGGCTCTTCAAATTAGTGTTTTGCTAAATTTGGTAAGTTTTCAGTCTGTAATTATTTAAAAAAATTTCTGGTCCATTTTCTCTCTTTTCCTTCTAAGTTTACTATACATGAGGTTGACTGATTGTAATCCCACTGGTCACTGAGCTCCCGTGTTTTTTTTTTTTCTTTTAATCTTTTTCTCTGTTTTTCAGAGAAAGATAATTTCTACAGATCTGTCAAGGTCCCCTTTTTGCCATCTCTCATCTGCTATTAAGTCTATCCAGTGAATTTTTTATTTCCGGTATTATATTTCCAGTTCTATAATTTCCTTTTTATTTTTAAAAAAATAGTTTCTAAACAAACGTTGGTGAGGATGTGGAGAAAGGGGAACCCTCTTACACTGTTGGTGGGAATGCAAGCTGGTATAGACACTCTGGAAGACAGTATGGAGTTTCTGTAAGACGTTAAAAATAGAGCCACCCTACAGTCCGGCAATTGCACTACTAGGTATTTAACCCAAAGATACAGATGTAGTGAAAAGAAGGGGACATCTGTACCCCAATGTTCATAACAGCAATGTCCACAATAGCCAAACTCTGGGAGGAGCCAAGATGTCCTTTAACAGATGAATGGATAAAGAAGATGTGGTTCATATTACAACGGAGTATTACTCAGCCATGAAAAGGATGAATACCTACCATTTGCATGGGCATGGATGGAACTGGAGGGGATTATGCTAAGTAAAATAAGTCAAGCAGAGAAAGACAATTATCATATGGTTTCACTCATATGTGGAACATAAGGAATAGTGCAGAGGCCCACAGGAGAAGGGAGGGAAAACTGAAGGAGAAGAAATCAGAGAGGGAGACAAACCATTAGAGACTCTGGATTCCACGAAACAAACTGAGGGTTAGAAAAGGGAGCGGGGCCAAATGATGGGGTAACTGGGTGATGGGTATTAAGAAGGGCATGAATTGCGATGAGCGCTGGTGTTATATGCAACTGATGAATCATTGAACACTACATCAAATACTAATGATGTACTATATGTTGGTAACTGATCGTAATCAAAAAAAATAGTTTCTATCTCTCTCTCTGCAGAGATAGTCACCATTATATAATAGCTGGCTTAAAGTTACTGTCCCTTAACTAACATCCATATTGACTTATTTTCTCAACTACAGGTAATATTTTCCTAGTTCTTCACATGATTAATAATTTTTTATTCTATACTGGACAATATAGATGATATGCTATAGAAACTCTGTATTTTGTTACCCTTTTTTGAAGTATGTTAATAGTTATGTTAATAGAATAGTTATGTTAGTAGAATAAATAGAATAGTATGTTAATAGAATAAATCCCTTAGGGCTTATAGTCTACTTCTAAGACAGGACCCTTCTAAGATTTCAACAAAAACCCTAATGTGTTTAATAGGACTCAAACTTAAAATCTGATTAGAAATATCACCTGAACAACTTCTCAGGTCAGCTATCATTTTCCTCGAGGCTCTATGGAGTCTCCTCTACACATTTGAATTTAGACATCAAACCATGAAATTAAAAGGAATACAAATGCAAATTTTGAGGCCCCCTTTATGCTGTATCTCTTTCTTTTATGGGCATTTTCACCACCGTATTCCAGGACAATCTGCATTAGTTGTGTATTAGATAGTGCTAATCTATCAATATTGGATTCTTGATTGCAATAATTTTATCTAGATTTTTGGGAGAATATTTTTGTAGAAAATAGACTCCAAAGTGTTCAGAGTGATAAGGTCAGCCACTTACTCCCTCAAATGAGTCAGGAAAAATTATTATTTTTACAACTTGTGTGTAAATTTCAAATTATTACAAATTAAAAAGAAAAAACCAAAGTATCAATAGACCCTATCCCAATACAGCTCTATGTTTAAAAAGAAAGTAATTCTGTAGTGAAATAAATTGAGGTAAAGTTACTCACTGTTTTCCTTTTAGCAATTCATAATGTATATTACCATGTCAAATATTTCTACAAATCATGCATTAGCCATACTTTCATTTATTCATCTTTCCAACCACAAATAAATGTATACTTAGGGCCTACTATATGAAAGGCAATGTTGGAGAGATAAAGAAGTAATAAGGAAGGCAAGATCTCTTCTCTCATTGAGTTTCCATTGTAATACAGAAAGAGACAAAGACAAATAAGAACTAATTTCAGATGCTCTGAAAAAAATAAAACTGGGTGTTAGAAAGAGATTGGGAAGGTATAGATACTTTTAGATAGTGCATCAAGGAAGACCTCTGAGGACATGATGTTCAAGTTAAAACTGAATGAAATAAGCCATACATGCAATAATTTAGAACAATGTTCCAGACTTAAGACATACATGTCATGAGATAGGAATGAACTTAAAATGTTGATGGAAAAGTTTCTGAATTACTCACACAAATGAGAATTTGTGAGAAATAGCACACTCGTCAAAAAACATGGCCAGAAAGTATAACTTCCAGTTATAAATAAGGAAGTCTTCGGGGGCTGCCTGGGTGGCTCAGTGGGTTGAGCCTCTGCCTTTAGCTCGGGTCATGATCTCAGGGTCCTGGGATCGAGTCCCGCATCGGGCTCTCTGCTGGGCGGGGAGCCTGCTTCCTCCTCTCTCTCTACTTGTGATCTC